ATGCCTATATGATGAGATGACGTGAGGTGAATGACAGAGGTGTTGTGACATAGCGTTAGGCGACCGTTTGTTTTCCAGTGATATGTCAGAACTCCTTCTGTCAAGCACAGGTAACTGAGACTTCAGAAGGTGACACTGAGAAGCGGAACCAGGGATAAGTGGGACTACTGTATTTCCCAAGTTTAATTAGAAACTTCAATGTTGTGATTGAAATACTATATCGGCCATGAACTAGTCATCTTTTACTTCTCTTACAGCTTTCTGCATTAAACAGTGCTAATGATCTGTCAGGTTCTGAAATGGCATTTTTTTGCTGCTGTTGTTCATGTAGATTGAAACGGTTATTTATTACTGCAGCCTGTTCTTATTGCCACATAAATGGCTAGGAACGTGTGTAAAATCACTTTTGAGGCTGGGTTCAGTCAAATCTGTACCCTTGTATAAATGCCAAGATGCTGTGTCATAATGGCAGTCAGTATATATGTATCCATTGGCTATTATAAGAAAAACCAGCCCTTTTATTTGACTCTAAGTGTTTAGTAAACTCCCTGGTTTGGCATGCCTTTGACTTGTTTGGTTTGTTTGTGGGGAAGGAAGGATGGGAAGCTGAGAAGTGAGGGGAGGCTGGACTGTACCTGAGCTCATTCCTGAGGCTGTATTGGTCCATGATGGCTTGTGGCGTCTGTGATAGAATCAGATGATGGAAGCACAGGAGTCATGCGAGCAGTGCACGTGAGTGCTGATTTTGTAGAAGAGCTGCTAGAGACCAACTCTTCGTTTTCCAGCAGAGGAGACTGAAATCAGAGATCTGAAGTGTTACGTCTTTGGTCACATAGCTAGTTAGTGGCTGAACTGGAAGTAGTACTTGGATTTCCTGATTCCTTGCCCAGGCATCTCTTCCACATATCTTCCATGTAGATATGATGATTTCCACTAAATTCAGAATTTTGGTGATGAATAATGGTTAAGCTTTATTACTACCCCCCCCAACCCTGGTGGGTGATTCATTGAAAGCATAATTAAGCATTTAAGAATGATTTTTTTTTCTTAATTTGTAGAAAATCACCTTTGAAACAGCCTTTGGAAACATGAAATACATTCTTCAATCTTGACTTTCCTGACTAAAAAGAAGTGTTGAATATCCATACTTTGTGTGTGTTAAATTGTTGCAGGATAAAGAGAAAACAGCTTCCATGTTTTATGTTCCAGTCCATTGACAGGATGAACCATGCTTTTGGGTGTCTTGGATTCAGTTCTTTAGTTATAACTTGGATTCCCCATTTTGTCTCCACAAATCAAAAATAAGAATCATTCTAGCATCACTAGATTAAGCAAGCTCCTTGTTTTGATTCCACTCTGGGAATAAGTGGTAACCTATAGAAGATAAAATGAAGATAAAATGAAGCGTCTCCCTCTCCCTCTGCCTGCCGCTCTGCCCAAAGGCATTAAAATTATTTAAAAAGTATCCAGATAATTTTTTTAAAGATTTTATTTATTTTTTTGAGAGAGAGAGAGAGCACAAGCAGGACGAAGGGCAGAAGGAGAAGCAGACTCCCAGCTCAGCACATCAGGCTCCCTGATGTGGGACTTGAGCCTAGGATTCCATGATCACGACAGGACTGAAGGCAGCTGCTTAACCAACTGAGCCACCCAGGGGTCCTAGATAATTGTGGGGTTTTTGTTGTTGTTGTGTTTTGTTTTGTTTTTAAAGATTTATTAAGATTTATTATTATTATTATTATTATATAAGAATATTATTATTCTGCAGAGGGGGAAGCCAGATGCAGGGCTCAATCCCAGACCCCATGACCCGAGTCAAAGGCAGATGCCCAACGACTGAGCCATCCAAGAACCCCCCATATAATTGGTTTAACAGGACTAGACAGAGCTATAGTTCAGAAGCTCGCTCCCATAGTACATTGCTTAAAACTTGGAAAGATTCAGCTGCATTCTAATTCGTTACAAACCTGTATTGTTTGCATTACTAGGGATGTAAGCTTCATAATACCTGTATTACTAAGTCTCTGTATCTTTAATGAACATGCAATCATTGTTTGAAATGAAGTTTTTGGGGCGCCTGGGTGGCTCAGTTGATTAAGTGACTGCCTTCAGCTCAAGTCATGATCTCAGAGTCCCAGGATCCAATCGGGCATTTGGCTCCCTTCCCTGCTCAGTGGGGAGCCTGCTTCTCTCTCTGATCCTCCCCCCTCTTGTACTCTCTCTCTCATTTTCTCTTTCAAATAAATAAATAAAATCTTTAAAAAAAAAAAGAAATGAAGCTTGAGATCCTATAATATTTTACTATAGTCTTAGATGCATATTCTAATAAAATTTCTGGAGAGAATGACTCAGTTAGTTGAACATCTGCCTTTGGCTCAGGTTATGATCCCAGGGTTCTGGGATCGAGTCCTGCATCAGGCTCCCTGCTCCGTGGAGAGCCTGCTTCTCCCATTCCCTCCGCCTGCCGCTCTGCCTACTTTTGATGTCTCTCCCTCAGTCAAAAAATAATAATACAATCTTTAAAATCAAATATCATATAAAAACATTAATGACATAGCGAGTCTATTGATGCTGCTGCTGTAACTACCACTATTAGCACTGTTCTGCTACTAGGATGAAGATGAGGGGTGGAAAGAGTGATGAGTAAAGTACTGAGCCCTTTACTCCAATCATGCCACAATTTAATCCTTACAAACGAAGTTCCATGTGGGTTAAGTTCTTTGCCCAGGGTCATGCAGCTAGCAGGGAGGCCAGACTCTTGAGTGCATACTTTTAACCACGGTGACATATGTTGGTTTATAACCTAGGCCCTGGAGAGACTCTGAAAAGCCTACCCTCTGTTTCAAATCATTAGGGCACTGTTTGATTCAGTTCAGTGAATAAATTTAGCAAGTTATACATAAGTTTGCATTCCTAAAAATGAATCTAGCTCAATTTGTTCAAGCAAAAATTTTTAAGCAACTCCTACAAGAAGGAAAAGATACCCGTAATTGTTATTGATGATCAACTTGGGGGAAAAAGAAACTGCAATCCTCTAGAAAAAGCTATTAGTAGTGCCAATGAGAGCTCTTATTAAAGTCTTTATTTATTAGATACTAAATAATTGTACAGAGTTAAGTCACATTATGATTTATGATATGTTATTATGTCATTTTCCAGTGGGAAAATGGTATAATGAATAAACTACCCCAGAATTGGAGCTAATGCAGTGTTTTACAACATCATATAGTGTCATCTATATAAACATCTTTGTGGTGAATATTTAAAGTTTCTATATTAATTGCAAATAATCGAGTCAATATGATGATTTCCATTGTTTTGAAAGTCACCAAAAGCACTGTATTTCATATTTTAATAAGAAACCTTCATTTTAACAAGAAATCACTTTCCTTTTCTATGTACACAGTTTTTATTTGATTACATTATGACATTAGGTATGCATATGTCACCAGAATTTTCCTATTACAGTTTCCTTAAAAGCGTAATTCAAAAGGTGTGTTTTAATTTATGCTTTCTATATTTTGAGAAAAACCTGCCATGATCTAATAACATAATTTGGTTTCCTTTTCACCTAACGTATTCATTATTTTAATGAGCATTTTGGAAAAATACTTGATACAAAATTTCCTAATCCTCTTTTCTGACATCTTCAATGATAAAATAGTGACATTTAGAAGAAATTGGTTGTAAGAAAGACACCATTTGTATCCCAATTAAAAATAAACTTCAGAAAAAGAAAAAAATTAAGTATCACATTTCTAATACTAGTCAATTAGCCTAAGAAATAAGTTATTGCAAAATGTCATGCCTACGGAGTGGCTTGCTGTCTATCTTCAAAACGAGTGTCAAGGGGAAAATATCAGTATGTGTCACAATTTTCCCATGTTATGATGGCCCCACTTATTCTGTATATTTTCTTGCCCAGGAAATGAAAATAGAGAATCTTAATGGTTATTCATTTTACTTTTATATTTCATTATTGTTCACCAGAAAATTCATATGTTGAAGATTATAATGATGATGAAAATCTTAATAATAAAATAACCATCATCATTAAATAAAGAGTTTTCCAATGACCCACATATGTGAAAAAGATAGAAACTCGGATTTCTGGTTTTGCCATTTGGTTACCTTAGTTGATTTTTTCCATCTTTTTGAGTCTCTGATTCTTTATCTGATGAAGTAAAGGGTTGTACTAAATTATCTCTGGTTAACTTCTGCTCTGCATATACATTAATTTTCTTATGTTTGCTGGGAGAGAACCTCCTTTACCTAGTGTCTTAGAAAGAAAAATGGTGTTAGGGAAAAGGCACAGTCAGAAAGGAATATAAGGATGTTTATATTCTTTTCTGTTTTTCTATTTTATTCAACTATAATTTCTTTTTCTTTTTTCTTTTTTCTTTTTCTTTTTTAGATTTTATTTACTTACTTGACAGAGAGAGAGAGTAAACAAGCAGAGGCAATGGGAGAGGTAGAAGCAGGCTCCCCACTGAGCAGGGAGCCAAATGTGGGGCTTTATCCCAGGCCCCTGGGATCATGACCTGAGCCTAAAGCAGACACTTAACAGACTGAGCCCCTCAGGCCCCCCAGCTGTGGTTTCTTTAACTGATGTACACAATGTCCCATGCACTTGGTAGAGGAGAGCCATGGTTTATGCTGTTGTGGGGATATGGTGTTGCCAAACAGGACACCGATGCATGATATCTGTGCCCGCTTCTAAGAGGCTGTAAGAGGTTTCACCGCCCTGAGGTAGCTTTGACAGTCCATGCACTTACTTCATAAACTCGTGGTTAACCAGGTTTTTGTTTTTGTTTTTGTTCTTAATTAAAAACAACAACAATACTATTAACATGTTTGAATGTTTTAAAAATACATCTGTTTCATTAAAACTAATGAAGGTAAAGAGCAATATTTGTGGTTTTCCGAAACAAACATGTTTGAGCATACTTTAAGGAGAGAGAAGATGCTTACCTTTCCATTTCATTTATTTTTGGTTGCAGAACTTCAGATGGTGGCAAAGTTGTTGGCACCATAGAAGTCAGTGTCGTGAAGATGGGGGAGATTGAGGATGGGGAAGCCGACCACATCACCACAGATGTGCAGGGACAAAAGGTAGGGTCTCAGTCAGCTCAATTCACACATTAAATTAGAAGCGATCAGTTTTGCCAGATGCCAGAATCATCAACACCCCTGTGCACTATGAAATGTCATTATTCGAAAGCCAAATGAGAAATCAGCTCTGGAACTGAAGTGCCCTAAGTAGGCTTCATCGCTGAACCAGAGGGTCTATTTGCACGGAACTATGGAAAGCCAGGCGCCATTCAGAAACACCTCTTCTTTGCCCCCCACTCTCCTGTTGACACTGACTCCTCGCAACTGGAACAAAAGTATTGATCACTGCTGCATTCTGCACTAATTAACCCTACTTGAGGTGCACAGAAGATTCTGGGAGGGCTGTTGCCAAAAGTAACTGCTTCTCCACTCTCAAAACTCTTTAGAAAGAGATGCAATTTGAGTTTAGATTTCATTTGTATGGGAAGGAGCACAGATTTAACAATGCTGTGCCTTATGAAACTGCAGAGAAAGAAGTAGGAAATAGTGCCAAGCAGCGGGGACAGCTTTGGAGGAGGGGCGACGCCAGCTGGAGGTGAAGCGGCTTCCTTGAAGCTGAGCATAAAGGTCCCAGTGCATATCAATATGTGTCCAGGACTTCTCCTTTCTTTTCTGTAAGAAAGAGAAACTTGATATAAGTATTAACCTAAATTCCTGTCTTAGGAGTGCAATTGCCTACTTTACTGAGCCACAGGGGAGGGACTTAAAACTGCATCTTTTCAGGAAAGATTTTGTATATACACTGTAATTCCTACCTTTTCATAAAGGAGTATTTTCTAATGATAAGGCCTTTAGTGGCTTACTTTCTGGCTTAGTGGCCCTTATCTGGGAGCATATTTGATTTTGGGTGCTGAGGAAACATCTACATGGGAAATGGTGTTTCTCTAACACAACAAATTATTGACTTTACAAAAGAAATCTAAAATGGCCCTTCAAAAGAATATTGTTCTTGCCCCAGAATAAGCTAGGGTCTGGTCTGCTGGGCCACGCCTTACTGTTCTCTGTTCCCCTGCTCTCCCTCAGAACATAGTGAGGTTCCTGAGAATATTCCAGGGAGGCTCAAAGTTCGAATCAGGTTGCCTGACAAAGGGAGGGCTGTCCTGAGTTTTGCAGCAGACCCTCTCAAGGTTTGTGTATTCAAAACACCAGTTGTGGCTCTTAGGATGTGTGCTTCTGAGTCCCCAGTTGAGGGACCCCTTCATTCGATCCCTCTTTCCTTTGGAGTTCTGTATAAGATGGGTATTAGTCATCACTGCATGAATGCTTGCATCAAGATTAAGGAGGAAAGATTTGGAGGCCGAGTGGCAGACTGAGTACAAAAATAGACAGACAAGACTGCCTAGACCTGTGGCAGTATGCCAGGAGACCAGTAGCAGACACACTTCCCATTTCAACACAGGCCTATTCTGACTGCTCCCAATCTATTACTAGTCATGTCTCTATTTTCACCCCCTGACTCCTTTACTGTGTTGCTATTATGAGGCAGTGCAAATTGAATCAGACTCTTTTCATAAACAGAGAACTTGACACCCAGGAATATACCCCATCAAAGCCCCACAGAATGTTTCTGACTTAGAAAGGTGAACTTAAAAAGACTTAACTGAACTGTTCTAGAAATAGGAGGTGGCAGTGCCAGCATGTACCATGTACGAGTCATAAATTGACTGAAATGATAAACATATCAATCATTGTTGCTGTTAGTTCTCTCCTGTCTGGGTTCTTCGTAAACATTGACCTTTTGCGAATTTTTTATGAAGTTATAATAAACTCTGTTGGCAAGCCTTCAGAATCTTCATAATTCATGAAGAACATGTAGTAAGGTCCACTGTGCACAATATTTAGGAGAATTATGTTGGAATAACTTTATCTCAGTGTTTCACAAAGGATTATCAGAATTTTCTGGAGTGTTTGATAGATACACGCAAACTCCTTTGCAGATCTGTTTAATCGAAATCTCTATGAAGTGTATTAACACAATCTTCTAATGGTGACTGAAGTCCTGAAATTAGTGAATGACTGAAACACAGGACAAGACAAAGGGACTGAAATCGAGGTTATTTGTAAAACAACACTACTCTCTGGAGTTTGTATGAATGGACGAGAAAGAAATGAAACTGTTAGCACCAGTTATATGGGTGAGAGACACATGTCATTGCTCGTGTAAATTGAAGTAGGTATAAGATTATAGTACCTGTTTTAATCAGCTTGGGCTTCCATAATAATAAAATACCACAGACTGAATGGCTTAAACAAAAAAATGTATTTTATTACAGTTTTGGAGGCCAGGAAGTGCCAAGTCAATATGCCAGAGGACTTTGTTCCTGGTGAAGGCTCCCTTCCTGGCATGCAAACTTCCTTCTGTGTCCTCACATGGCCTTTCCTTGGCACATGAGCACAGAGACAACCAGTGAGCTCTGGCGTCTCTTCCTCTTTTTATAAGGAAACCAGCCCAATAGGATTAGAGCCCCACCCTTATCATCTTCTTGATCTTTCATTCTCTCCATAAAGGCTGTCTCCAAATCCAGTCACATTGGGTGTTGGGTCTTCAGCAGAATGAATTTTGAGGAACACAATCCAGTTCGTAGCAATATCCCTGATGTAAATACATTTGAATCTTTAATCTCATAAAACCTCCAGAGCCTGGAATAAAATAAATGAAAAGCCAAGCTCTGTTCTCTCACATTATTTGTTTCCTCAAATCATATTGTTATGATATAGTTCTCATCAAGAAAGATGGTTCAGAAGGTCATTCACCATACCACCACTGGTTCAAGTCTTTTATTTATTTATTTATTTTTAAAGATTTTATTTATGTTTTAGAAAGTGAGAGAAAGGTAGAGAGGCAAGCAAGTGGTTTGGGGTGGGGGAGGGCAGAAGAGAGAGAAAAATCTCAAGCAGACACCCTGCTGAGCAAAGAGCCTGGTACAAGGCTGGATCCCACGACCCTGAGATCATGACCTGAACAGAAACCAACAGTGTGATGCTTAAGGGACTGAGCCACCCAGGTGCCCCACTCAAACTTTTATTTAACTTGGACATACATACTGATAGAAGACAAAGTGTTAAAATCACATAGCTAGAGAAAGAAAAACTCACAAGAGAAACAGGAATGTGGACATTTTACAAAGTTCATATAATAGGTGAAATGTTGCATTAGGTATCCAATTTTTTTTTTTTTTTTTATATTTTGGAGTCATCTTTGACTCATTTCTTCCTCTCATAGGCATAGTGAGTATGTCAGCAAATCCTGTTGATTTTGACTTTTAAATATATCCAGAACCCAGTGACTTTTGAGCCCTTCCTTCTTACAGCATTGTCTGTCACATACATGTTTATGGTGTTCCCTTAAATGTCCCTTCCTCCTCCTTCCCAACACCCCCATCATCCTAGTCTCTTCTCAGCAGAGCACTTATTAAAATGTAACACGGAATATTTCATTCCTCCAGTGGCTTCTCAACTCCCTGAAAGTATAAACCTAAATCCTTTCGGGGACCTACTTAAAGTCTACGAGTGTCGGTCCCCATTACTTTCTTCATCCTCTACTCCTATTCTTTGCTCACTTCCATCTAGCCTCATTAGTTTCTTGGCTATTAAACATTCTAGGTGCATTTCCAACTCAGGTCTTTCACTTTGTTTTTCCATCTGCCTTTTTAGCATTTTCCCTGGGGTAAATATGTGCTTCATTCCCCCACTTCCTTCTAGTCTTTTTTTTGCAAAATGTGACCTTCTCACTCTGCCTTCTCTGCCCTATATCCAAAATTGCCATGCCTACTGGAAACATTCTATCTCCTTTCTGTACATCATTTTTGTCTTTTGTACTTACCACTGTCCAACATCACATATATTTTATTTATCTCATTTATGGTCCATTTCCCTCACTAGAATTAAATTCCATGAGAGAAAGATATTTGTCTATTTTGTTCTCTCCTTTACCTTTCCCCCTAGTGCCTAGAATAGAGCCTAGCACAGGAAAAATGAGTGAATGAGTAAATGATGTCAATTTTACCTGGAAGAAATAAAATCCAAATTTGTCTCCCCGAAAGGATAAAATTTGGCTGCATATAAGGCTGTGTACAAACTAATTGGTCTATAAATAAAAACTAGAGTGAGGATGCAGGAAAGAGTGCAGAATTAGGAAGGAAAGAGGAAGAAATTTTTTAAAAACAACCTTTCAATTAAAGAGTCAAGAAAAAAATATGCTGCTACAGAAAGGAAAATGATCAAATCAGGTGATAGGTAGGAAAACCAATGTAAGTAACAGCCAACAGGATCTAGTGAGATGGCCATTGCCCTCCGCTCTGCCCTGCCACAGAGGGGACTTGGCTTCTTGTCAGGGGTGGGGGATTGTTAACAGACATCCTCTAGTGAGGCTCTGCTGGGGCTGAATTCAGCTCCTGCCTTGTCTCCCCCTTTTGTTTACTGTCTTTATTATATTTGAATGTGGCACATGGCACTGTACCAATGACCAAAGTAGTAGTGATTTCTACAGAAGGAAGGAAAAGCCTTACGTATTTATGACGGTGACAGAAATGGTATAAGTAGAATAATATACATCTTATTTTTACTACGAGCTTGACCTGACTAGTATTTTGATGACTAGTATTTCGTGGCTCTTCTCAGGTCATTTAGTGCCCATATTTTGAAGTGGTGTTTTATCGGATATTCATTAGCTGTGGTCAGGGAAAAGGTAGAATCCTAGGGAAGCTAAGGACCATCTTGAAAAGTCCCATCCCTTTATTTTTCCCAAATACAGAAGTGAAAATAATATAACTAACTTAACTTACTTTATAAGATATTTGCAGACATGTAATATTCATCATTCATTTATCAAACAATACTGCCTTCTGTGTTCTAGGCAGTCTACCAGGTTCTAGATGTTCAGCAGTGAACCAAATAGACACAGATGCTGCCTTCTAGGGAATTAAACAATAACAAAATAAGAAAGTAATGTATTGTTGATCAGCTGGTACTATATGCTATCAAAAAAATAAGGGTACAAGGACTAGAGAGTGTGGGCTGTGACCATTTTATGCTGGGTGTTCCAGGATAGATTCACTGGTGATGTGATATCTGAACTGAAACACGCAGGAAATAGGGGATCAAGAAATGGGCATCTGAGAGGAACACGAATTCTAGGTAGAGTTAACAGCAGGGGCAAAGACCCTGAGATGGCAGCATGTCTCTAATGACTGGAACTGGGGGTTGAAGTGGAAGGAGTTGAGGATAAGGTCCATAGGCAGGGAAGACAGATTGTATACTCCCTTATGGGCCGCTAGACTCTGAGCTAGGTGGAAAGACTGTTGAGGATTTTGAGTACAGGTGTAAAATGATCTGATACATGTTTTAAGAGGACTGTGCTGGCTATTGTGTTGAGTATGGCCTGGAAAGAAGCAAGGACAGAAGAATGGAGCCTGTTCATTGCAAAGATTCAAGGCAGAAATGAAGATGAGTTGATGAGGTAAATCAGAGAAAGTGAAATGTGGCCAGACGCCAGATACCAAAGAAAATCAAAGAATACACTTACCATCTGTAGTGACGATGAAAAATGAAAGGAACAGGTGCAGAAGGACCAGAGATTTTGAGATGTTAACTTTGAAATTTGAAAGGGATGCATATACCCAGGCAGTTGGAGATTTGAGTCTGGAATTCACGTGAGATGTCCAAGCTAGAATTACATATTTGTGACTAGTCAGCTGGTATTTGGATGGTATTTAAACTCTGAGACTGAATTAGATCACCAAAGTGTAGCAATTTGCATACTTTACACTCCCAAAATTGGTATTTATGTGGATTTTATCTGTTAATATTTACTGTATTACAGATTTTGCTTACTTAGGTTATACCTGTGGACATCTATCGTATTAGTAATTCAAACAAGAAGTGTTTAAAGCAAAAGAGTACACAAGCACACATACCATTAGCTGTCAATGTATTAGGGCCTCTACAGAATTCCACTATAAGCTTATAAGAGAAAGAGAGAAGCAGATGAATAGTGCTTTCATATTATTATGGAAGTGATTTTTGTCTTCCCCTTGTGCCAGATGTTGCAGAAGGTGCAAAGGCAAAAGTTATCAGGGACCCCTGGAGACTCCAGGCCAAACTTTGGCAACCATGAGTTGAGGAATAAACACACACATGTAAAAGTGCTTAGCCAAGAAATACTGGTCTTTGTCCTTTCTGATCATTGTCGTCCTTACAATTTGGTTAATTTTCTAGCCCAAAGCATGGCAAAATGGTATGTTAGTTGATAGTCAACATCATTAAACTCCAAAAAGTTTATATATCTTATATGTCTTCCTCATGGTCACACTTACCATCAAATGACACTTTTTAAAGCACTCATCAAAATCAGTAGGCTTGCAGTGAGTGCTGTGGGGGAACAAAAAGCATGTAGTGTTTGTTACTCCTGCTCAGTATCAGAAATATAAAATTGTTGCACTGAGAGTACACACAGTAGAAGTGCATAACCCTGAAAATATCCATTAAATGACAGCAATAAACAGTATTAAACAGCCTGTGTTTAATGATTCCAAGTCATTTTAATCTTTGCATACTCTGTAGCATCTAGCACAGTATAAAAATGATTCTAGGTTCAACTGTAAAAAAATTAAATAAGCTAGGCTGAGGAAATAAGCACTGTGGTTCTTGGCTTCAGAACTCTCAATTTAAATAGTGACACAGACAGTACACTTGGGAAGCAACTGAAGAAAATAATTAGAGTCCAAGTATAAAAATATTAATTTAGTAATATTTATTGGATTTTTCTGCTTATGTTCCATGGATTTAAATCTTGAGAGCATTGTAAATAGCAAAGCTTTAAAATACAATAAAGATGCAAAATAAGAATGTTATTAGGTTAAATTTATTCTAAATATCTGCCTTCTAGTGTGAATGGAAGATACAATGTATGAAAGTTCTATTTCTATATCCTTTGGTAAAATAATATAGACTTCTGTTAGGAAACGGAAAGTTGACTCCACATAGAGAAGCAGTTTCTCAAGATAATAGCCTGATCCCCATGAATTATGGACTTCCTTACTAAAAGGGTTTAATATAAACCATTTCTATAAATTATATTGTAGATGATAATCCTGTTTGGAAAGGAGGATAGCTCGAAGCTATATACCTAGTTATTATGCGGAAGGATATGAAGGACAAATCACCAAAGGATTTGAACACCAGTCTGAGAATACGAAATTTGATTGGCCAGTAAATAAATATCATACATTGTAGAGCAGAGCCCTGGTATGATGAATATAAAGTTTATGAAAGATTATTTTAACAACCCTGTATGGACTGAAAAGAGTAGAGGAAATACTGAGAATAAGAGAAATAAAGAATTTTAAGTATGCCCAAGCATCATTGCACATTGCTCTAGTGATTTGGGAAGTGCATTTTCCAAATAGCTGTGGAGTAAAAGAAAGGATCACCTCTGAGTTCTGGTTTGGTCAGGAAAATGATTTAGAGGACATCAGATTCTAAAAGCTGTTTGTAGTTATTCATTCTTTCAGTAAAGCGAACCTCAATAGGAGCACAAAAGAAATTATGAAAATACATTTTTCCCTATCAAGAAATGTGATGCATGTTTATGATGGGGGAGTAAGTAGTGGACTACACAAATACAGAAGTAATATTTAAATCAATGCTTTAAATTATCTTTCTTCTTAAAATGCTTGATAGATGTAAGCATTCCATCATTAACAGTGACTTCAGTGGCCATGAGTCTCCAAGAGGGCCAGTGCCTGGAGAAGAAAGAGTGGAGTGAGACAGTTTAGAGATAGCCCAAGCAATCTTGATACACCCTGCTGGGGAGGGTGATCTGAGCCCTTCTGAGTCTCTTGAGCAAAGCCATGCATGCTAGAGAGGTTTGGCTGCTTCCCTCATAACTCCTCACCAAAGATGTTTCTGAGTTCTGGGTTTTGCTTTTATTTGCATTTGTTTGTTTCTGTCTGATATTTTTGGCCTAAAAATTCACTCTCCTCTCTACTCAAACTACCACACTCCCCTCCCCTCCCACTTTTTTGGCTAGAGATAGAAGGAAACTCATGAAAAAACAAATGCCAGTCATGCTGGTATCTGTCTGTGTGAGAGTAAGTCTCTTGTCAGCTTCCTGGGGCCAGAAGAGGTGCTTCCTCTGTTAATTACAGTTTCAGAGGAAGTTAAGGAGAGTCCATCACTTAGTGCTGCTTGTCTGGCATACTGTTACCCATTTCTGCTTCACTCCCCAGGACCATTGCAATGTGCTCTTCTGTGTTTCTTAACTGTGTCCAGAGCAGTGTTGGTTCTGTAAGAGCTCATGAGCATAATCTATTAATCATAGATTCTAGATTCATGATCTTTAGATCAGCTTATTTACAAATCATTTATTTATAAGTCAGCAATTTATAAATCAGAGATCAATTTATTTATAAAGTTCTCTCCTACTTTATGAACAAGTGTGTGCATCGTTTTGCCACAGGTGAAAATCTTCTTTTGCCTTATGTAATTTTATGGTACAACATATTTTATCTTTTATTTAAAGCTTTTACTTAAAAATCTAGAAAATAATTTGCTTTTTATTGATCTAAAACTATCCCGGGTGACAGAAATGTAAAACCATTCAGTTTATCAATGTGATTTGCTACACTAAGAACAGATTTCTAGCATGATGGGGACAATCCTTGTCCGTTTTTTGCTTTCCTTTCTAAGTAGTTTTTAACTATAACCAAGACGTAGTCTACAATTATGAAATACAATCATATAGATGTTTAAATAATCACAAGTTATACAAGTTTCATAATAAAGATAAAGCTGAAAATAGTCTTACAAAAATGTCGTTCAAAACTTTTTGAAACCATGTGCATAGCCTCATGTTTTGCAAACAAGATGGAAGAATTTCATTTCTTAATTTCATTATTTTCATGTGTTTTTTTTTCTTTTATTCTTCCCTAGTGTACACTGGTATGTGAATGTACAGCCCCAGAAAGTGTGAACGGAAAAGATAACTTACCTTTTTTGAATGCAGGTATGTATCTCAGTTTGGAAAACTTATGTTAGTCTCATATAAAGGTAAGTTTTAATTTTTGTGAACTCAATGTTAAACATGGGCAGCATCCTCACAGAATCATTTGTGAACACTTAGCAAATGAACTGGTAATCACTAGAAACATCATCACCAGTGGAGTAGGGATAAACATTTTTCCTGGGTTCTTGCTCATGGAGAGGAAGACTGAATCTGGGACACAAAAAATGCTGAAGTGAAATTTAAAGTGAAGGTGACAACAGAAAAGAAAGAAAAGAGCTCTCTAGAATGAGTGAGGCAACTCCTGAATGAGTTGCCATTGAGGGCTTTCATGGTCCATCTTTTATAGGAAACTGACCAGGGAACTTGGTAAATTTCTTGTTAATATCATGGTGGAGTATTGAATACCAGGCCTATGTTTAGAATGAACAAGTTGGACTTGTAACTATCATGAGAACAAACAAGGTGTTCTTGTAAATATCATGTCTATTTCTCCAAATCTGGGATTTCTGGGAGCCTGGTTATATTCCCTTCCCATGGCCCCCTACCTGTCTCTCCCTACCTAGCCTGTCTGTCCCTTATTCAACATGACAATCCCATAAGAAAGATATAAAAATACTTTGGCTATTTGGCAAAAAAAATTCCTTTTAGCTCTGGATTTTGTATTATCTGAAACAAGACACATTAGAGGACAGTAAGCATTAGAAATATGAAGGTCTTCTTTAGTTTGACTTTTATTTATTTGTTTGAGAGAGAGAAAGGGAGAGAGGGAGCGTGATCTAGAGGGAGGAGGAAGGAGTTAAGGGGAGAGAGAGCAGCAGACTCCCTGCCCAGGGCCCGGAACCACCCAGGCTCCAACAATTAGAAAGGTTGACTTTCTAACTATAGAATTCAAAACAGAGTTGTTAAAACAGTAGATAGATGGATTCAGTAGGAAAAATTCATATGCGCGTTTATACATTTCTGGAAGTGTATGTATAGAATGTGTTGCTTGCAGTAATATATTTGAATTTCAACAAGGTACTAAACCATGTGTTAAATGATAACTTTGTGAATAAAACTGAAACTTATAGTACAGTTAAAAATGTGATAATATGTGTATGTAAAATATGGATCTACTTTTTTTTTTTTTTTTAATTTTATTTATTTATTTGTCAGAGAGAGCGAGCACAGGCAGACAGAATGGCAGGCAGAGGCAGAGGGAGAAGCAGGCTCCCCGCAGAGCAAGGAGCCCGATGTGGGACTCGATCCCAGGACGCTGGGATCATGACCTGAGCCGAAGGCAGCCGCTTAACCAACTGAGCCACCCAGGCGTCCCTGGATCTACTTTTTAATGAAAATGTAAATTATGTTACCATTAATACTAAGAGTAAACAATGACTAGTACAGTGACAAGCAGCAGGCTAAATGCCTCCTGTGTCTTGGCTTGCCTTCTGACCTGTGCTGTGAAAAAGGCACTGTCCTTATCCTCCTTTTACAAATGAGGAAATTGGTCAAGGTCACCTACCCGGCAAGTTATCAGGTCCAGAATTTAAATCCAGTTGTGACCCCAAGGCCTTTTTCTCTTAATTACTAGGCCATGCTTTTACCTAAAAAAAAAAAAATAAATAAATAAATTAAAGTTGGTGCAACAGCAGAATAAGCCTGAATATTTTCCTAACACTGCCATGTCATATGTTTACACAATAGCAAAGTTGGAATAATAATCACCTTAGTGAATGATACGGAATTTCAAAGGCTTAGTAATATATACCTGCTAAACTATTAGCAGTTTTTCATTGCCAGCCATCTCTTATATTAAGGAATGTATAAAGGGAAGGCAACTCTTTGACTATGATTATACAGACAGAGAATGCAAAATAAAATGTAACAACAGCAAAAAATCATGAATTATACTTACATGGAATGAGGGATTATACCAAAGAGGAGCAACTCCTTAGCCTGTGAGCAAATGACATTTTTAATTTCATTTCATTTAGGATGTAATATTGAGAGGGATGTGCGATGAACAGTGATGGGTCTACCCAGACAGCCATGGATCCTAAAAATACTTGATAAGTTTTGAGGCTGGTTAAAATAGCTAATATATCCTCAAATGGTCCTCCTCACATTTAGTTTTCCACCTGAAAATTGACCAAACCTTTAATCCTTTAAGGTATCCAGATAACCTACTGAATTTACTAAATGCCAATTTCGAGAAATAAAATTGAACGTGGGACATATTAAATTCATGTTAAATACATTTGAATGAATAGGGTTATCACCACAATCATCCACATTATAATTACAAGATAACTTTTTAATAATTCACTCATCCGAACCGTGTAATTTTTACACACAAAGAAATACCATTTTAAATTACTGATTAGTTTAATATAAATTTCATAGAGAAAAACGGCTTTCTAGGGAAGAAAATATATTACTTAAGGAAGAAGAGACAGAAGGAACATAGTAAAAAATAAATCTGCACCTCCTCATACCCATGCCATAAAATCCGTAAGGCATGAGTCTTAGAAGTGTACTAACTCTTTCCGACTACTAGGATACTATTCCCGATGCATAAATTGTAATATGACAAAGACAACTGACATGAAACTGATGGAGACAGCTGCACTCTGCAATTAAACTATACTTACTTAGTGGAGTGAAAGACGATTGATTCCTGCCTTTCTGCTTTTATGGAGGTGACAGTTGGGTGGTGATTCTCCACTTAGTTCTAATGCTATTGCATATTGTCTTTAGTCCATGCAACCCAGAGGAGCATTCAGAACCTAGGATATTTGCCACAGATATTTTCTTTGAGCCTTCTTATATTAGGGAAAGATAAGAGTAAATGCAAGTCAAATGTCATAAAGCTAGATTTTTTAAAATGTGTTTAAACTACAACTGAGTGCTCTGTATGAAATGTTTCTGCTCAAAATATGAAAGTGCGTTGTGTGGGTTTAGAATACGTATGAGTTTGGCCTGTGCATAAATCTGTAGGCAAAGGGAGCTACTGACATTCTTTTCAAGTCTTTGTATTAATGTGTTATATGGAACTTGCCAGCCTCAAGTGAGTTATGAAGTACTTATTGAGTGAATGGAAGAGAATGTCATATCTCATAGCAGCTCTTCACTATTCTATTTATATCTCTAAAGGCTTAATTTATTATTCAGGAAATTCACTTATCTATTGTAAGACTAACAAGAAAAAAACTCTTCCCCCTAAGTTCTCACCTTTTTCATGCCCTGCTTGCCTTGCAAGTCCAACGTATATGTTGGGAGTCAGGGGAATGGAGGGCAGAAGGAGAGTAAGGATGAGTGGGAGGAAGGCAGAACTTGCAATTCCTTAAGAACGATAGGTAAGAGCCTTGGCTATATGGGGAGATGCATTCCTTCCAGCTGGTGCATTTACATTATCTGAAACTAGACACACTGGAAGACATGGTAAGTATTAGAAATGCAAGGTTCTTACTTAGTTTGACTCTCTGACCACGTAAGTCGTACCATAAAGTTGTTAAAACAGTGGATTTACGTCTCTCATTATTTGCTTATTCATTTAAGCAAAATGGTAGTGAGAACACTTAAAACTGCTTGGTGGTGGTGGGATGGGGAGTAGGGAAGTACAGTCAGGCCTCTCACATGCCCTGCTAAGTCACATCAGCCAAGGAACTTGGCTGCCCCAGAATGATAACAAATGGGCTCTTGTGGCATTAATATAAGCACACCAGACAGGCTGTCAGAAGAACTGGTGTCAAAGCCTGGATTTGCTAACCAGCAGTGTAACCCTAATACCTGGGTCAGACCTGTCAACATCGATTCTTTTAAAATGACGACAGTAACCTGCACAGCCTTTAACTTCCTTTTCTGGCTCTTACGTGTTTGAAGTCGATATAGCATAATTTAGCTTATCCTGTTCACCTTCTTTTTAGAAATATTTCATAAAAGTACTCATTTTAATCCATTTCACAGGGAGTCACATATTAATTTTTTTTGTCATTGTTACAGTTGTCTTTCTTAGAGGTTACTTCTATTGAGTAATCCTAATCAGAAATATGCTTTTTCAAAATTCTGTCAAGAAGATAATTCTCTCTGGAGTCCCACTTCTCCCAGTTTTCCTTGTGAAAGTATAATGCTGCAGAATACTTTAGCCCATGGACCCTTCCATTACTATGCCAAATCTAAGGAGCTAATGGGCCCTATCACAACGTTTCCTCCTTTCTTCCCATTTTGAGTGAATTTTCCCCTGTCAGCAAGCATTAGATCTGATACAGCCTCTTTCTTGGTTGAATTCCATACTGCTTGAGTCATGAAATTATCCTTTATATTCCTTGAAGACCACTTTTGTGCTGTAATTTAACGTGCATACTGTCCTTCATATTCAGAGAGGGTATATCTGACAGCTGAGATTTCTGTGACCGTGTAAGTTGGAATCTAAAATAAAAATGAGGGGACTGCCCTGCTCTCAGTCCTAAATCCATGCAGTCCCCTTCCTGTTTAGAGAATTTATTGGTATTTTGCATTTCTTGCTTCACAGACGAATCATACTTTTTCTCAAAATAGGCCACTATATCTTTGATTCTTTTTCTCAAATTAGAGTTAAGCCATCTACTACTTTGCAGAAGATGCTAGATTATATGCTATTTAAGAAGAAAGAACATTGCATATTTATTTTTGTATCTCCGTAGCCAGAATACAATAGGAACTCAATAAATACTTGTCAAAAGACTGATAGCAAGTTATCTTATCAATTCAGTTTATACTTCTGATAAATTACTTTCAAATTCTCATTTTTTTAAAGATTTTATTTATTTATTTGATTGAGGGAGAGGCAGTGAGAGAGGAAACACAAGAGCAGGGGGCAGCTGGAAGAGGGAGAAGCAGACTCCCCTCTGATCAGGGATCCTGACTCTGCTTGATCCCAGGATGCTGGGATCATAACCTGAGCCGAAGGCAAACGCTTAATGACTGAGATACCCAGGCACCCTGATCAAATTCTCATTTTTAAATGTTTTCTGCCTCGA